AAAAGAAAATTAAGACAAAGAAATGTTATGGCATAAAAAGAATACGAAATACTTAATAAGATTCTACACCATTTCTACATTTGTGACATTAATTATGTGACTCCCTTATGCAAAATATCAGATTTTCATGCTTCAGTTAAAGCAGAAGATGCTCTTTGCTGCTCAAATCATGCTGGATAACATACAGTAGATCTTGTAAAGTATATGCCAGCTCAAGTTCATAATGTCATTAAAAATGAAATTCTAAAATTATGCACGTTTACTTACTGAAATAATACTAATTATAGTGCTTGTGATTAAAAAGCATTATATGGATAATAGCTCAGCTGATTTAGGAGAATTTGGTAAGAAATATTTGTTCATATTCAGATCTACAGACTTTGGTACCATTAAAAAATATGAGCACAGTTTCAGATATTGTTTAAATCTCTTCTAAAACTCTATAGAAGAGATATGTGATGACTAAAACAATTATTTCAGGAGAAAAATTTAAAATGTTACAGCAAAAGTCTCCATTGACCTCATTGCTGTCGAGGAGAAGCAATATGAAATATATCACATTTGTAATATTTCTTACCTATGGATTTGTACCCTACTGTGCATTTGGTCCCTCCGATCTTGAATATAAAAGAAAGGAAACAGATAATTATTTGCAATGAAGATCTTATATAAAAAAGCTGAACTACTGAATTAAAATGCACTGATGCATATAAAGAAACAACAGTTTCAGTTGCATAATAGGACTGTAAATCAATTTGCACTGCAAGTATGCATGTATTAAAATCCCGTCTCCAAGCCTCAAAAAAATCGATTGGGTAATGAGTACATTCACAATCACGAGACTATGCTGAAAAGGGGGATTTAAAATCATCCCATAACAATGTGAAAATAAAAAATTTAAGATCCGTAATAAATCACCAAGAACAGAAAAAGAACCATCACCTATTCAGCGCTCCCATCTGCTATCCTCTGGATCGACCGCGGAAAAAAAACTGGACAGCGATGTTTTAACTCAGAAGTGCATTATTAATCCACAGACATTTCTTTGCAGTTGCACGGCACAGCATCAGCATCAGCATCAGCATCATAAATTCCCGCGTCCACCTGACCATTGGGAATGCTATGGAATGGCCTCTCTTCATCTGTATCCCATCCGGATCGCAGGGGGAGTTTGGTGAGGGAGCTGCTCTCTCTCCATCTGATGGAGCTCGGAGAGCTCAACTCGTCTTTGTTTCCACATAGAATGACGTAATTTTACTTTAAGACCATCGAGAGCGCGTGGAGACAGGTTGAGGAATGGACAAACGGGAATTAAATCGCATTATGCATTTAATAGAAACGCGCTGCGTGACGCGTCAGGGGCTCAGCCATGCGGGAATCGCAGATCGCAA